GTGCCTTGGCACGGCAGCTCTTCATGCAGAGTAAACGGGACTGGTTCCCTTACTGACTGGTGTTTGGAGCTCCGGGAAGGCAGAGCCGCTTGTTGCGGACTTCAGAAGGAAGCCAGGCCAGAGATTCCCGAGCAGAAGAGCACCATCAGTCTTATCGCTGCTATTTTGGCCGGCGCAGTGGGTTGCTTGAATCCCAGCACTGGAAATCAATAAATTGGACGTCGACTCAGAAACCTAATTAAAAAGGCGGTAATTGTAACGATGACAGATGGATAAATTTATAATAAAGGGGAAAAACCAGCCTAAGAAGGCCGAGCATACCCAAAATCAGAACCCCTCTTTCTCTACAGGGGATTGCAGTTCCTCATCAGCAACAGAACAAGCCCTGATGGAAAAGGACTGTGTTCCATTATCTGAAGTAGGCTTCAGAAGGTGGATGATAAGAAACTTCTGGGAATTAAAAGAACTTGTTCTAACCCAATGTAAAGAAACTAAGAACTTTGAAAAAAGGTTTGACGAAATGCTGAAAAGAATAGACAATATAGAGAGGAATATAAATGAACTAAAGGAGTTGAAAAATACAACACGAGAACTTACTGAAATATGCACAAGTTTAAATGCAGAATGGATCAAGCAGAAGAAAGGATATCAGAGGTCAAAGACCAACTTAATGAAATAAAACGACAAGACAAGAATAGAGAAAAAAGGATGAAAGGAATGAGCAAAGTCTCCAAGAAATATGGGACTATGTGAAAAGTCCTAATCTATGTTTGATTGGTGTACCTGAATGTGATGGAGAGAATGAATCCAAGCTGGAAAATACTTTTCAGGATATTATCCAGGAAAATTTTCCCAATCTAGCAAAGCAGGACACTATTCAACCCCATGTAATACAGAGAACACCACAAAGTTTCCTCAAGAAGAGCAACCCCAAGGCACATAATCGTTAGATTCACCAGGATGGAAACGAAGGAGAAAATACTAAGGGCAGCCAGAGAGAAAGGCCAGGTTACCCATAAAGGGAAGCCTATTAGACTTACAGCAGATCTCTCGGTGGAAACCCTACAAGCCAGAAGAGAGTGGGGGCCAATATTCAACATACTTAAAGAACAGAACTTTCAGCCTAGAATCTCATATCCTGCCAAACTAAGCTTCACAATTGAAGGAAAAATAAAATCTTTTATGAACAAGCAAGTACTCAGAGATTTTATTACCACCAGGCCTGCTTTACAAGAACTTCTGAAAGAAGCATTATACATAGAAAGGAACAACCAGTATGAGCCTTTCTAAAAATATACCAAAAAATAAAGAGTATCAACATAAAGAAGAATTTACATCAACAAATGGATAAAATAGCCAGTTAACATCAAATGGCAGTAACCCTAAATTTAAATTGACTAAATCCCCCAATCAAAAGACACTCTGTGATCCTGAGATCATGTCATGCCAGGTCACAGAGAGATGCCTCCAGGCGTTGATAATCACCCTTGGGTCAATTGCTAAAATTACTGGGTAGTCCAGCCTGATAGAGCCCTCAGGGCCACAGACCAAGATATTTGGATGACCAAGATAGACTTGGCCAGAAGGCTTTGGAAAGTTCCCTGTGCTTCTAGGAGCGATCACGGTGTCTGTTTATATCATGATGTCCTGCAGGGCCACAGGTCACACAGCAGTGTTCTCCTCTCCATTTGCACCATGAGGGAAGGACAAAATGCTGTTCAGTGTGGAAGCCGGACAGACCCTGTGGACCATGAGGGCCTGGGCTGCCCTGAGAATGGGTGTTACAGCTGAGGTGACAGCAGGGAGGAGGGAACTTGAGGGCTGATGGTGCTGCCAGGAGGGGTCCTTCCTTTGGGGGAGCTGTTGGAGGACACCTGAGGATCCTCCTCTACTGCAAGGTGACCTTGGCCTGAACCCAAGAGGGCCTGAGAGGCCACAGAATGGGGCTCCCACAGGACCTGAGGAGCACTGCTTGGGGCTGCTGCCACCCATGGGGGTCGTGGGGGCCCCCACCCCTAGAACACTGTGCTCTGTGCAAAGTGGCTCTGCCTGCCTGTGATTCACTTTATAAACCATTAAATTATAAATCATAATAATAAGGCTCCTATTTTCTACAAATGTGACTTTTAAAGCTTCACTCTGCACTCAATGGGTTCATTGTGTTTTGCAATGAAAATTTTTCTGAAAGAAGTACTTTCTTTTTTTTTTTTTTTTGAGACAGAGTCTTGCCTTGTCACCCAGGCTGGAGTTCAGTGGCACTATCATGGCTCATTGCAACCTCTACTTCCCAGGTTCAAGCGATTCTCCTGCCTCAGCCTCCTGAGTAGCTGGGACTACAGGCGCACACCACTACGCCCAACTAATTTTTGTATTTTTAGTAGAGATAGGGTTTCACCATGTTGGCCAGGCTGGTCTCAATCTCTTGACCTCGTGATCCACCCGCCTTGGCCTCCCAAAGCACTGGGATTACAGGCGTGAGCCACTGTGCCTGGCCCAAGAACTACATTACTAAATTCTGTAGAAAATGAGGTTCCACAGACAGAACTGGTTTCATGGGGGCTCTTTTTAGGTGCCCATCCAGCCTGATGTTTGTGTTTTTCAGACTTAAAGAGGATTCTTTGTTCAGAACCCACCTTACCTCCTAGGTGCTCAGAGACCAGAGGCCCATCCTACCAGAGACACTGGGGTGGAGATGCTTGATGAAAATAAGGGAACATGGCCAGGCGCAGTGGCTCATACCTATAATCTCAGCACTGTGGGAGGCCAAGTGGGAGGATCACTTGAGCCCAGGAATTCAAGATCAGCCTGCACAACACAGCGAGACTCTGTCTCTCTAAAAAGAAAATAATAAAAATAAGGGAATAAAAGTGAGGGGTGGGGGCAGCTCAGGCTAAATGCACTCCAGATGAAGTCAGGGAGCCTCATGAGGAGCAAAGACTGGCATAGAGAAATGGCCAGCCACTCAAAGCTCCAATTAGAGCTCAGCCATTGGCCATCAGCTGCCTGGGATCCTACCCAGGGCTGAGAGCTCTTTTTTCTGGAAGGAGGTCCCAGGGGCACACCCCTGCAGGGCCTCCCACCTCTCCCAGAGTACCTCTGTGGTTAGTGAGTTCACTTTACTCTTCCTGGAGATGCTTCCTTTGATGTTGCTAATATTTTCCCTTACTTTCAACTTCAGGCACTACAACTTCCCCAGTCTTGGTCTCAAACACCACCAGATCTTAGAGCTGGAGAGACGATAACATCAATCAAACCAATTAGAACTGTACGGGTCTCCAGCTTGGTGGGCCTATTAGTGAAGAGCTTTGGACATCTGAACAATCTAAAGTGATGGAAGGGCGTAAGCTGGCAGGAGACAATGTGGAATTCAGAGCATTTCCCCTGACTTAAAACGTCCAAGCTCAGGAAAGCTCAAACGTAGAATGAGGAGAAATGTCTAGTGCACATAATAGTCTTTTCTCAAAATCAACTTTTGGGGGACCCAACACTAGTCTTCCTGGTCCCATGAGGCCTTTGGGAAAAGCTGGCTGACCTTTGGGAAAAAGTTCCAGTTCAGGATTCATCACATGTCCTGAGTGAAGAGGCTGAATGCAGAGCTCTAGAATGCCCTTCTAGGGATTGGAAAGGTGGAAGTCAAGGCTGGAGTGGGGGCAGAAACCCCAGGTGCCCCAGATTTCTCTTGCAAGCATACAACCGAAGGCACATGTGTGTACCATGCCATGGGGCCAAACCCCTAACCCTGTGTCATGTAACAGTGTGGGGGTTCCTCTCCCTCAGTGTGGCCATTCGCCTTCTTCCTGCCTTCCTGGCAGACAAGGCCAGGGGCCTCACCTCCTCCTTGAAGGTGACATCCCCATCCATGTCTGACAGCAGTGGAGAGCCCCAATGATGAAACTAATGGAGAGGCCCCAGCAGCAGCTAAGTCCCAGGAGGCAGAGCCCTTTATCCTTCAGGTCTCTTCCTGTAGGTCTTTTCTATCTTCACTATCTCCATCACCATTATCACCACCATCGTAGCCATCATAATTGGCATCATCTGTTTCCTGAACATTAGCAACCTTTACATGTAGTAAAAAAAATTCTGGGCATGTCTACATGAAATTCTATGTTTGAAATTGTTACTTAATAAAAAAAAGTTTATATTTTTATATAAAATTTTAAATGTTAAAAAATTCTGGGACATGTCTATATTAAATTCTATGTTTGAACAATTCTTATTGTTCAAAACATGGCCCTTCTTTAAATATTTTGAGATAGGGTCTCACTCTGTCACTCAGGCTGGAGTGTAGCGCTCTGATCTTGGCTCACTGAATCCTGAACTCTCAAACTCAAGCAATCCTCCCACCTCAGCCTCCCAAGTAGCTGGAAGTACAGGCACACACCACCATGCCCAGTTAATTTTTGTATTTTTTGTAGCTAGGGTTTCGCCATGTTGCCCAGGTTAGTCTTGAACTCCTAAACTCAAGCAATCCCTGACTCGGCATTCCAAAGTTCTGGGATTACAGTTATGTGCCACACCTCACCTGGCCTATTTTTTGAGACAGGGTCTTGCTGTTGCCAAGGCTGAAATGCAGTGGCACAATCATAGCTCACTGTGGTTGGGGACCCCTCCTGGACTCAAGCAATCCTCCTGCCTCAACCTCCTGAGTGGATGGGACTACAGGCGTGTGCCACCACACTCAGCTAACTTTTTGTATTGTTAGTAAAGATGAAATCTCATGATGCCCAGGCTGGTTTCGAATTCCTGGGCTCAAGTAATACCAAAGTGCTGGGATTACAGGCATGAGCCACTGCGCCTGGCCCTGTATTTCTTTATAGGTAATGTGAAACAAACTCCATCATGGACCTGAAAACCGACCAGAACCCTCTGTTCCTCTTCCCTTTTGTCCTCTTTTCCCACCACCTGGTGGGATTTCAAGCCAGTAAAGGTGGCTTAGCCCAGATACTGAGAGGACAAGGGTAATCAACAAAACTTGTTGAGGTATATGACTTACACAGGTGCTTGACTGAATGCTTATATGACTATTTAATTAAAAACATTTAAAACAGGAATTAAATTGCATCAACCGTCAAAGTTTGAAACCAGCTTTTCCTGTAGACCAGAGACCCTAGTGCTGCTGACAGGGTCTTGTGGCAGCCCTTAGATTGTCCTGGCAAAGTCGAGAACACATCCAGGTCACAACAGATTCTGGTGTGTTCTGCAGGGTATGTGTTTTACAAGAAATATCCCACCCCATGGCCAAGGTAAAATAGGCACAAGTTCTGTGCCCTCCCCCCATGTCACAAATAGCACAGCAGCCACTCAGGCCAACACATCCAGAACTATGTAACAATCAACAGATAAGAACTTGTTTCCAGGTAATGAATATTTGTAATGCTTCCCTCTGAGGCCACAACAGGCCCTATCTCCCAGCCCCTAAAGCTGCTCCCCATATTTCCACAGGCATAAGGGCTCATCTTTTACCAACTGCTCCCCTAGCTGTTGTGGAAGAGCAATTGCTGGTCCTTCAGTCTCTGATGTCCTGGTATACCCAGATCAATGGCAGCTACATGAGCTTAGTCTCTCAGTTCTGGGGCCCTGGACTGAGGCTGGAAACAGGGTACCTCCCCCATGGCTGGACTCCTGCAACAGCCAGGCTTTCCTCAGAACCCTTGCTCTGTGTCTCAGGGGTGCTGGGATTCTGTCCTTGGCTGGAGGACCATAGCTTCTCTCTCTCCCTGTCGGTCTGGGGTGAAGACGACTATGATGAATCCCCTCTTCTGCAGGGCAGTGTCTGCAGGGACCAGCTCTGCCCTGTGTCTTGTTGAGGATGTTTCTAGAATGCTCAGCTTCCACTGATGCAGGTCCTGCTCTTGGGGTGCATCCTGGAGTCTCACCACCCACTCCTCACCAGGTTCTAGCAGCAATTTCCAGTGCTGCCCTGGGGTCCTCAGGGCCCTGTTCGGGGTCATCTTCTGGAGGTATGGCATCATAGCAGTCCACCATGGAGACGAGCTGCAGGGCCAGTAACCAGGCCTCAGCCTTGGCAGGGTCCACTGCCTAGGTAGTGCCCAGCTCCAACACCATGGGCTACCCTGGGGGCAGGTCCATTTTGAAAGACTCCTGCCATGAAGAAACGCAGCTTTCCCAGTGTGAGCAGATAAGAGGCAGATCCAATCTCCAGGGAAGACCCTGGGTCCAGTCAGCATCCTCAAGGCCCAGGCCCAGGGGCTCAGCATCCTGAGGCCCTAGTTCAGTGGGCACAAATTCGAGGTCTAGGGCTACGTCTTCCACCCCTTCTGGGGCTAATGCCAGGGTCTCTGGCTCCCATGCCTCAGAGCCCACCTGCATAGGCTGCCCTGGGCTCTGCCCCCAGCCCAGCTCCATCTCTGGGGACCCCTCCTGCTCAGACTCTGCCTCAGTGTGCTCCATCAGCTCAGGGTCCCAGTTGACTTCTTCCAAGATATCTGACTCCAGCATCTCTTTAAGGTTCTCAAAGGCACTCTTGAAGCAAGTGAAGCAAACGCAGAGCTGGTCTCCATGTTGACGCCGATACATCCAGGAGGCGTAGAGGTAGGACATGCCCTCTTCCTCCAATGGCACACTGACTGGGGGGCACATGGCCAGGCTGACTGCCTCCTGCTGGGGTGGATAGGAGCGGGAACCTGAGGGAAACCGGGGGAACCTGAAACTGGGGGAACCTGAGGGAAGCTGGGGGAAACTTAGAGAAACTGAGGGAACGTAAGAGATACTGAGGGGAATCTAAGAGATACTGAGAGAAACTGGGGAAACCTGAGGGAAACAGAAAAATCTGGATGCAGGTGCTGGGGCCAGTAGGATGCTGGGGGGCAGGGATGAGGGGGACAAGGAACAGGAGAAAAGGGTTTCCTATCCAGGGATTTGGGGTAGGGTGGATGACCTGGGTCCCAGCTCAGTGGGGACCTGAAGAGGGTGAAAGCTTGAACTTCTGGAAATGTCTTCAGCTTCTGTAGTTGCTATGGTCTCTGGGGAGCTGGAAAGACAAAGGGAGGGAGATTAGACGCCCCCAGTAGTCAAGGCAGGAGTGAACTGTGGGAAACAGCAGAAACAGGGATGTCAGGGTTCGGACTGGCCCTTTATTGGGGACCCTGTTCAGTTTGAACAGCACTGGGGCTGGGAGGCCTTCAGTTTCCTCCAACTGACCTCCTTGGGCTCATCGCTTTCCCCTACACCTCAGGGACCCCGACACCCCATCAGTCTCACCTAACAGAACCTGAAGGAAACTGAGGGAAACTGGCAGAGCCTGAAGAGACCTGAGGGAAACTGGAGGGAAACCTGAAGGAAAACTGGGGGAACCCGAGAGAAACTAAGGGAAGCTGGGTAAACCAGAAAGAAACTGAGGTAAGTTGAGGGAACCTGAGGAAAACTGGGGAAACCTGAGAGACACTGAGGGAAGCTGAGAGACACTGGGGCAAACTGGAAGAAACAGAGGGAAGCTTGGGGAACCTGAGAAACTGAAGGAAGCTGAGGGAAACTGGGGGAAGCTGAGGAAAACTGGGGGAAGCTGAGGAAAACTGGGGGAAGCTGAGGAAAACTGGGGGAAGCTGAGGAAAACTGGGGGAAGCTGAGGAAAACTGGGGGAAGCTGAGGAAAACTGGGGGAAGCTGAGGGAAGCTGGGGGAAGCTGAGGGAAGCTGGGGGAAGCTGAGGGAAGCTGGGGGAAGCTGAGGGAAGCTGGGGGAAGCTGAGGGAAGCTGAGGGAAGCTGAGGGAAGCTGAGGGAAGCTGGGGAAACTGAGGGAAGCTGGGGAAACCAGAGAAACTGAGGGAACTTGGGGGAAGCCGAGGGAAACCAGGGGGAAGCCGAGGGAAACCAGGGGGAAGCCGAGGGAAACCAAGGGGAAGCCGAGGGAAACCAGGGGGAAGCCGAGGGAAACCAGGGGGAAGCCGAGGGAAACCAGGGGGAAGCCGAGGGAAACCAGGGGAAGCCGAGGGAAACCAGGGGGAAGCCGAGGGAAACCAGGGGGAAGCCGAGGGAAACCAGGGGGAAGCCGAGGGAAACCAGGGGGAAGCCGAGGGAAACCAGGGGGAAGCCGAGGGAAACCAGGGGGAAGCCGAGGGAAACCAGGGGGAAGCCGAGGGAAACCAGGGGGAAGCCGAGGGAAACCAGGGGGAAGCCGAGGGAAACCAGGGGGAAGCCGAGGGAAACCAGGGGAAGCCGAGGGAAACCAGGGGGAAGCCGAGGGAAACCAGGGGGAAGCCGAGGGAAACCAGGGGGAAGCCGAGGGAAACCAGGGGAAGCCGAGGGAAACCAGGGGGAAGCCGAGGGAAACCAGGGGGAAGCCGAGGGAAACCAGGGGGAAGCCGAGGGAAACCAGGGGGAAGCCGAGGGAAACCAGGGGGAAGCCGAGGGAAACCAGGGGGAAGCCGAGGGAAACCAGGGGGAAGCCGAGGGAAACCAGGGGGAAGCCGAGGGAAACCAGGGGGAAGCCGAGGGAAACCAGGGGGAAGCCGAGGGAAACCAGGGGGAAGCTGAGGGAAACCAGGAGGAACAGAGAAAACTGAGGAAACCTAAGGGAAACTGAGGGAACTTGAGGAAAATTGGGGAAACCTGAGAGAGACTGAGGGGACCTGAGAGAAAATGGGGAGACCTGAGAGGACCTGAGGGAAACTGGGGGAACCTGAGAGATTGAGGAAACCTAAGGAAAACTGAGGGAAACTTGAAGGACCTGAGAGAAACTGAGGGAACCTGAGGAAAACTGGAAGAATCTGAAGGAAACAGGGGAATCAGAGAAATAGAGGCAAACTGGGGAAACCTGAGGAAAACTGGGGAAAACTGGGGAGACCTGAGAGAAACTGGAGGAACCTGAGGGAAACCTGGAGGAAACAGGGAACCTGAGGAAACCTGAGAGAAACTGGTAACTGGGGGAACCTGAGGAAAACTGGGAGAACATGAGGAAAACTGGGAGAACATGAGGAAAACTGGGGGAACCTGAGATAAACTAAGCAGAACTTAGGGAAACTGGGAGAACCTGGGGAAACCTGAGGGAACCTGGGGGAACCTGAGGAAAACTGAGCAGACCTGAGGGAAACTGGGGGAATCTGAGGAAACCTGAGGGAACCTGGGGAAAACTGACAGAACCTGAGAGAAACTAAGGAAAACTGGGGGAGCCTGAGTGAAAACTGGGGGAACCTGAAATAAACTGGGCAGACCTTAGGGAAACTGGGGAAATCAGAGAAACTGAGAAAACCTAAGGCAAACTGGGAGAACTTGAGAAAACCTGAGGGAAACTGGGAAAACCTGAGGGAAACTGAAGTGACCTGAGGGAAAGTGGGGGAACCTGGGGGACAGTGGGAGGACCTGAAGGAACCTAAGAAAACTTGGGGAGCCCAAGGGAAACTGGAAAAACCTGAAAAACTGAGGAAAAGTGGGGGACCCTGAGAAAAACTGGGGGAATGCGAGGGAAACTGAGGGGGAACTGAGAAAACCTGGAAAACTAAGGAAAAGTGGGGCAACCTGAGGGAAACTGGGGCAAGCTGAGGGAAACCAAGCGGTAACTTGAAACTGGGGGAAACTGGGGGAACCTGAGGGAAATTAATGGGACCTGAGAGAAACTGAGGGAACTTGAGGGAAACGGAGAAACAGGGGGAAACAAACGGGGGAATCTCAGGAAACCTGAGAGACATTGAGGGAACCTGAGAGAAACTAAGGGAACTGGGGAAATCTGGCGGAACATGAGAGAAACTGAGGTGACCTTAGGGAAACTGGGGGAATCAAAGAAACTGAGGGGACCTGAGAGAACTGAGGGAACCTGGAGAAAACTGGGGGACTCAGAGAAACAGAGGCAAACTGGGGGAAGCTGAGGGAAATCAATGGGACCTGAGAGAAACTGAAGGAACTTGAGAGAAACGAGGGGAAACAGAAACGGGGGAGCTCAGGAAACCTGAGAGACATTGAGGGAACCTGAGAGAAACTAAGGGAACTGGGGAAATCTGGCGGAACATGAGAGAAACTGAGGTGACCTTAGGGAAACTGGGGGAATCAAAGAAACTGAGGGGACCTGAGAGAAACTGAGGGAACCTGGGGGAATCAGAGAAACAGAGGCAAACGGAGGAAAACTGGGGAAACTGAGGGAACCTGAGAAAAACTGGAAACCTGAGAGAAACAGAAAAACTGGGGGAATATGAGGGAACCTGAGAAAAAGTGAGGGGACCTGAGGGAAACAGATACTTGAAACTGAGGGGACCTTAGGAAAACTGAAACTGGGGTACCTGAGAGAAACTGAGGGAACCAGAGGAAATCTAGGGGAACCTGAAAGAAACTGAAGGGACTTGAGGGAAACTGGGGGAACCTGAGGGGACCTAAGAGAAACTGAGTGAACTTTTGGAAACCTGAGGGAAATGAGGGAATCTGAGAGAAACTGAGGGAACCTGAGGGAAATTCAGGAAACCTGAGAGACACTGAGGGAACCCAAGAACTGGGGGAACCCGAGGTAATCCTGAAACTGGGGGAATGTGAGAGAAACTGAGGGGACCTGAGGAAAACTGGGGGAACCTGGGGCAAACTCAGGGAAACTAAAGGAGCCTGAGGGAGATGGGGGAGCCCAAGGGAAACTGGGGGAGCCTGAGGAAAACTTAAGAGAACCTCAGAGAAACTGGGGCAAAGTGGAAGAAACAGAGGAAAGCTTGGGGAACCAGAGAAACTGAAGGAAGCTGAGGAAAACTGGGGGAACCTGAGAGAAACTGGGGAGAACCTGAAACTGGGGGAACAGAAAACTAAGGAAACCCAAGGGAAATTGAGGGAACTTGAAAATTGAGAGAACCTGGGGGAAGCAGAACCTGGGGGAACCTGAGAGAAACTGAGGCAAACTGGAAGAAACAGAGGGAAGCTTGGGGAACCAGAGAAACTGAAGGAAGCTGAGGAAAACTGGGGGAACCTGAGATAAATGGGGGGGGGACAGAAAACTGAGAGAACCTGAGGGAAATTGAGGGGACCTGAGGAAAACTGGGGGAACCTAAGAGAACCTGAGGAGACCTGAGAGAAGGTGAGGGGACCTGAGAGAAAGTGGGGAAACCTGAGAGAAAGTGGGGAAACCTGAGAGAAACTGAGGGGAACTGAGGCAAACTTGAAGGAACCTGAGAGGAACTGAGGGGACCTGAGGACAACTGGAAGAATCTGAAGGAAACTGGGGAAATCTGAGAAAAACAGAGGCAAACTGAGGAAAACTGGGGAAACTGAGGGAACCTGGGGAAAACTGGGAGGACCTGAGGGAAACTAAAGGAGCCTGAGGGAAACAGGGGCAACCTGAGAGTAACTGGGGGAGTCTGAGGGAAAATGGAGGGAACAGAAAACTGAGGAAATTGAGGGAACCTGAGAAAAATTGGTGGGACCTGAGAGAAACTGAGGGAACCTGAAGAAAACTTGGGGAAACTGAGGGAAACAAACTGGGGAAACCTGAGACAAATTCAGGAAACCTAAGACACTGGGGGAACCTGAGGGGACCTGAGGAAAACTGGGGGAACCTGAGGGACCTAAGAGAAACTAAAGGAGCCTGAGGGAAACAGGGGCAACCTGAGAACTGGGGGAGCCTGAGGGAAACTGGGGCAAAGTGGAAGAAACAGAGGGAAGCTTGGGGAACCAGAGAAAGCAAAGGAAGCTGAGGGAAACTGGGGGAAGCTGAGGAAAATGGTGGGAACCTGAAACTGGCGGAACCTGAGAGAAACTGGGGCATACTGGAAGAAACAGAGGGAAGCTTGGGGAACCAGAGAAACTGAAGGAAACTGAGGAAAACTGGGGGGAACCTCAGAGAAACTGGGGGAACAGAAAACTGAGGAAACCTGAGGGAAATTGGGGGAAACAGAGACCGAGGGGACCTGAGGAAAACTGGGGGAACCTGAGGAAAACTTGGGGAAACTGAAACACAAACTGGGGAAACCTGAGACAAACCTGAGGGAAATTCAGGAAACCTGAGACACTGAGGGAACCTGAGAACTGGGGGAACCTGAAACTGGGGCAACCTGAGAGAAACTGAGAAACTGAGGGGACCTGGGGAAAACTGGGGGGACCTGAGGGAAACTAAAGGGGCCTGAGGGAAACAGAGCAACCTGAGAGTAACTGGGGGAGCCTGAGGGAAACTGGGGAACCTGAGGGAAACAGAGAAACTGGGGGACGCTGAGGGAAATGGCAGGAACCTGAGAGAAACTGGGGCAAACTGGAACAAACAAGGAAGCTTGGGGAACCAGAGAAACTGAAGAAAGCTGAGGGAAACTGAGGAAGCCTGAGGGAAATTGGGGGAAAGAGAGAGACTGAGGGGATCTGAGGGAAACTGGTAGAACCTGAGGAAACCTGAGAGAAACTGAGGATAACTTGAGAAACCTGAGGAAAACTAAGGGAACCTGAGATAAACTGAGCAGACCTGAGGGAAACTGGGGAAACCTGAGGGAACTTGAGGAAAACTAAGGGAACCTGAGAGAAACTGAAGTGACCTGAGGAAAAGTGGGGGAACCTGGGGAAATCTGGCAGAACATGAGAGAAACTGAGGGGACCTTTGGGAAAGTGGAGGAA